ATTAATTAATTATATATATAATCAAAATCTTGGCTGGGAAAGCACCTTGCGTGAAGTAAAGAAGAAGCCTCTTGATTTCTCATGTATAGAATTTTTCAAAGGTTTATTAGTTTGATGTCGCGGCTTGAAGGTTAAGATATAAAGATGTTGCCTACAGAAAAAACAAAGCTAGTATGACAAATTTGACAATAATCTGAGCTCGACCAAAACCGAAGGAAACAAACCCTAAGCTAGTAATTCGGTAGCATGACTAGCTTCGGGGAACAAAATTGCATGAAAACGAGTCGGTCTTGGAAAAATTAATTTGACATAATTTGTTTAAATTCATAAGGAGATTACATCATTTAATTTTCTTTTTCAGAATCTTGACGGTGGAAATAAAATTAAATTTAAAAAAGATGCATAACGAGTCTTACCTTTAAGAAGAAAAAAAACTAATAGAGCTAATAGGAGATTATATCATGACAAGACGTGAAGGTCGGTGTTGAAAAAAATCATTTTGACACGGTTTTGTTGTTCGATGATGTGGTGCTAGAATAAATTCATAAGGAGATTACATCATTTTTCTTTTTTAGAACCTCGAGGATACAAGGGAAGGGAACTTAATTGAAAAAAGAAAGATCGGAGGCTTACCTTAAAAAGAATAGCATGTGAAGGACAATGTTTTCGATAATCCTTGATCGGTGAATGCCTAGTCCTGGAAAAAAGAAAAAGAGACACCAAACCTTTCCTTTATTCCAAAAATCAATTGGTATATATTAAACTTCAAATGGATCCCACGTCAGGTACACTATAAACATTATAAATGAGTCTGAATAGTTCAATCAAATGAGCTGGACATTTGATTGATTGATCAGAAACCACAAAACAAACAAATAAACTTGTTTCTTGAATTAATTACCACTTCAAAAATGATAAACATATTTATTGATGGAGTTTCATTTCACCTTTTGATTGCGCGCTCATTTGATTGTTAAAATGGCAATCGTGGGGACAAATACAGGGGGGCTTATCACATCGCATGGCATGTCCAGACACGTCTGTGCGTGGGTTCCATTGGCCATTTTTTCTGATGTCTTAATCCACCGAAAGCCTGCAAAATCTCACATCCAGATGCATTGAAACGCATGCGTTTTACCTTGTACTTCAAATTAGTGTGCTTTCTTTTTTAGCTTATTATTTGTCTTCAACAGTTCAATTCCTGAATAACTTTTTATCTTTCATTATTGCTTTTCTTTCAAATTCTCCTTTATTTATTTTCTTCCCTTTTTAGACCATCGTGATTTGATATCAATACGCTAATCGCATCCCAGAGATTGCATGATAATTAAGCTCGATCTCTAGGTAAAAATATTAAAGTGAAGACGCCTGATAATGCAATCACATCAACCACAGTTCACTGTTTACAAACAAAATACAAAATCAAAATCCCAATTCCATCTTTCAATGACACTTGCATTGTACTGGTTTAAGAATAACCTGTTCATCATGGTAAATTATGATATTAATTTTCTTAAATGCTATACATCGAAAATAGTTTGAGTTCAAAGAGAGTCTCATCACCGATCGATTGTTTTGAAAAAAAAAAAAAAGCATATTGTAAGTGTGATAGACCCCGCAAATAATTAAGAAATAATAATGCATAGGATGAATGGCCATTGGCCAACGTTAAATGAACGTCATTTCAATTGCTTCTCTGTAAGTCGTGATCTAGCTTAGCTAGCATGCAGTACACTGTACAATAATATCATTCATTGCACCCAGTTTAGTTTCTTGTTTGGCTGACTCCTGTCAGTTTCTCCACTTTAATTTCCACCTAGAACCATAATTAAAGGGCTTCATGAGCAGCTCAGCTTGTCAGTTTAGTTTCAAGCTTGGCATTGCTTAAATTCATATTTATTCCCATTGTTTCCTTGTTTTCGTGAAATATTTCCTACAGGAAACAGTAGTGCGAATAAGACTCATTGCAAAGAAAGTCTGCATTGTTCTGGAATCACCTAGTACAGAAAATTCAAAGTTTCTATGAAGTAATACTTGACCTATCGATGTATATACTTCAAAGAATTAATATCAAACTTTGAGAACCATAAAATTAGGAACGACGGTGGAAAATGTCTGGCCACAAATAGCAAAATTCCAGGTTTTGTGATGTGGAATTTCACTTTACATAAAGACAGGTAACATCACCGATAGTGAGTGCTTTGATTTCTTGCATGCTTACGCTATCTTTCTGGAATAACAATTCTCCATTCAACTATATATAAACACCATACATAAAAGCAGGATACTCAACTGACCTGTGACCTTTCCATTCAAAATTAAGCAACAGTGGGGATTAAAATTAAGAGCATCTGATGTAATCTAAACCATTGGAAAAGAGTTGGATTTACATGATGTTATATGTTAAACTGTCAATCCTTTTCTTTGAAGCTAGAAATTAATCCTTCATTTGGTAACGTATAAGAGTTGGATTAGTTGACAATTAACTACTAAAACATCACGTACGTGATAGTGAGAGATGACATGAGGTCTTTCTTGTTTAACGTGGTTATGGAGTTTAATATATACAAGTATTGTTGAATATATATACTGCCTGACTTTAGAATGCAACATATGTAGACTGGCTTTCTATTATAGTTTTGGGCCTTTGAAACATCATTTTGGGCTTTGTATTCTCAAAACTTTCAAGAGATCTCCCTATTCATAGTTGTTGGTAGTTCATAATTAAATTTAATATTATTCTGCAAAATTTCCACTGAACCGAGAACAATGGCATTGTCCAAGTTTTGATGATGGTAACTCTCTCTCCAACTTTCTTATGGCGTAAATGGCATGGTGGATCTTGGCCTATCAGAGAGCCAGTAAAAAGAGAGAATCGACAAGCAAAATTCACTTACACGAAAACATGAACCCATTAACAAGCAAAATTCACGTACACGTAAAAGTTGAAGAAGACATAACAGATGTAGCCAAAAAGGGAGAATATATGGAAATCCCACCCATTCTTGGCGCCTTGGCCGTTGAAATTGGTGATACATTGCTCCTGAAATATAACAGTAATGCTACACTTCTATGATGAAATCTCAAATTTCCCATTCCATATAATGTATCGTCTTATGTTTTGACATATCTTTTATCGCCTAACCCTTCATCTACATATCAAAACCGTAAGATAGCACCAGCTTGATAATTAAGTCAATAGATTTTTTATTTGTTTTTTTTTTTTTTTTTTTAAATTTAATTGATTTTTACTTTCATGGTTTTAGATAATAAGCAATAGAAGGTACAAAAGTGCTGAACATAGAGTAGTACTACGAGCAGGCAATCAAAGAGTTTAAATCCCAATCTTTACCACGCCGAAGACAACGAAGAAGATTGGGCCGTTGTCCGCGCTGGTGGAGAAAGATGGTGAGACTCGTTATCGAGAGTTTGTGTTCCAAGATTATGTGAACAACTTATTCAGCAATCCTCATGACGGAAAGAAGTCTCTTGATTTTGCTCATGTTAATAACATCTTCTCTTTTCATTCTTTCACTTACCTATTTTGCTTTTTCAGGTATGGACTCGTGTTCTAGACGGAGGCTTCCCATCAATGCGCAGGATTCCTCATCCAAATCTTCCCAAAGGAAACACATTCTTCCGGATCCTACTTCCATATCTCCTGGAGTTAAAGCTCCTCCTTCCAAGGCTCAGAAAACCAGCATTTCAAATCTCCTCAAGCCTCCCCCTACTCAAATAGACATATGCCACTAAGGCAGATCACTATCAAGAGTTTGATTGATTTGGGGTCCAAGGTCAACATTTAAGTTGGATCACGAAGCTGCCACTTCATGCTCCCTTGGGTACACTTATTCTGTTTACCTCTTAGAGTATGTACTTTGACTATATCCTGATCTTACAGCTCTGTTCCGCAGATTGCTATGGCGGTGGTTCATGTGAGGGTGTTGTCGGAGTCGGAGTAGCTAAGATTTGAGAACCAGGCCTTGTTGATGGAGAAAGCTACTCTTCTTTTCATTAGAAACTATCCTTCTAATTTCATAATTCATCACTTACAATATCACTATTCGTATTTTCATCGAAAGCTACCTCTATAGTTTCATAACTCATCAATTAAAATATAGCTTCATAATTCATTACCTAAAAAATATAACTGTATACATTTTCATTAAAAAAAGTGTCTCTGTAAGCTTATTCTATTATTTTCCATTTCAGTAAAGAAGGTTCAATTTAAAGTTTAATGTCAAATGTGCCCTTATATGTTAGATTGAATTACTGATTTTTCTATATCAAAGTGATAAAATTATGACATTGTCCTTTATGACCCAAAAATTTAACTTCATAATGTTTCCACTTTAAAATAATATAAATAGTAATTTAATCAAACATCTAAAGGCATACGTTTGCATTCAAATGAACCTTCCTCAAACATTAAAACAGTTCCGCATCAGTATGGATATGCAAAACATGGAGAAAAAATCAATGCCATACTTCTACAAATTTGGCAGTCATACTAAAGGAGCTAAAACCTCAAAAGGATCTAATCTATAAGAAAATAAACAGAAGAACAAAAGCTTAAAAAGACATTGCATCACTTTTCTGAAGATAATTTCAGATTGTACTCACAGTAATTAATTGTCTTCGAAAGCTCCACCAACTTTTTTGCCTCCTCAATCTTGGATTCCTTAACCAAAGAATCCACAACAAGCTGCAACAATTCCTGATCAACAAGGCACCGCCTACTCAAAATCTTCTTGCAGAGTTCAAAAGATANTTTCATTAAAAAAAGTGTCTCTGTAAGCTTATTCTATTATTTTCCATTTCAGTAAAGAAGGTTCAATTTAAAGTTTAATGTCAAATGTGCCCTTATATGTTAGATTGAATTACTGATTTTTCTATATCAAAGTGATAAAATTATGACATTGTCCTTTATGACCCAAAAATTTAACTTCATAATGTTTCCACTTTAAAATAATATAAATAGTAATTTAATCAAATATCTAAAGGCATACGTTTGCATTCACCTTCCTCAAACATTAAAACAGTTCCGCATCAGTATGGATATCCAAAACATGGAGAAAAAATCAATGCCATACTTCCACAAATTTGGCAGTGATACTAAAGGAGCTAAAACCTCACAAGGATCTAATCTATAAGAAAATAAACAGAAGAACAAAAGCTTAAAAAGACATCGCATCACTTTTCTGAAGATAATTTCAGATTGTACTCACAGTAATTAATTGTCTTCGAAAGCTCCACCAACTTTTTTGCCTCCTCAATCTTGGATACCTTAACCAAAGAATCCACAACAAGCTGCAACAATTCCTGATCAACAAGGCACCGCCTACTCAAAATCTTCTTGCAGAGTTCAAAAGATAACTCCAAATCACCTTTCTCACAAACAAAGGGAACGAGTATTGTAAAAGTCCCTTTGTTTATGACACAATCACTCTTCTCAATATCATCATACCACTGCTTAGCTTCTTCCAACTTCCCTTCATTAACAAACCCCTTTATCACAGCATTGAAACTAAAGACATCCGGCTTAATTTTCTTGTTCCGCATCTCTTCAACTAACTCGACAGCTTCTTTTGTTTTCTTCTCAATTGCCAACCCATTCAACTTGGCATTATAACTCCTAATATCAGGTGTAACAATCTTATCCACCATTCTTTGCCATATCATTTCAGCATCCGCAAACCGTCCATTATTGTAAAAAGCATATAAAAGTGTGTTAAACGTGATCCTATCCGGGTTCTCACCCTTCTTCTCCATCTCATCAAGCAACTTAGTCGCTGAATCAAATGAACCCATCTTACAATAGGCCTTAACAACCGTGTTATAAGATACCAGATCAGGCTCTATCCCCAACTTCTTTGGCAAATCTGAAAACAACCCATCAACCATATCAAATTTCTTGGAGTTAACACATGCGCCCAAGAGGGCATTAAACGAAAAAATCGTTTGCTTGCAATTTCGTTCAGGCATTTCTTCGAACAGCTTGTGAGCATTTTCAAACATGCCAGCTTGCCCATACAGAGATATAAGGCGGACGGAGAACCCTTCTTTAGACGCGTCTTTGTACTGTTTTTGGTGTTCCAGAATCTCTTCTACATATTCAAAGGGTTTAGCATGGGCCAGGCGGCGAACCGTGTCCTTGTAAATGCCCCCTTTGGTGCGGAAACGTTCAAGGTCGGAGGATTTTTTAAACTTATCCACCAGTCGTTCGAGATCTTTTTCTCTGTACAACTGACGGATGATGGAACTGATTTTGGGAGTGGGGGTGGCAACGGTGGAGAACCGGTGAACAAGGCGGGAAAGAAACGGCATCGTTCGGTTTAGTGAGGATGTTTGAAATGTCTCAGACAGACAAGAGTGTGCTAGTGAAAGCGTGGGATTCGGGTGAGGGCTTTGGCCTTAGGGTTAACATTTTTGTTTTTCATTTTTAAATTTTTTTGTTTATTAATTCGACATCACTATTTCACTTGGGCTTTACTGGTAACGGGCTGGACTTAAATTGGGCCTTCGGTCGTCAAAAGAGATAGCCTGTCAACTACACATACAATACAACAGAAAGCACAAGTACCCAATCAAGAGTTTCAACTTTCAATCCCAATCTTTTCGGGGCCAAAACTGACGAAGTGAGAGTAGGGCCGTCACTGAGCTGGTGGAGAGAGATGGCACACATACAACTCAGAGATGTAATTTTGAGTATAAGAAAAGTTCATGATCAGCCGGATATTAATAAAGTTTCAGTTCTAGAAATTTTATGTCTTTTTCTTTGGAAAGTTTTGCACTTACTAGTTTTTCTTTGATTGGAACTAGGATTCTCACACGGGACCTCTTCAGTGATTCGAACCCAAAAAATTAATGAAGGGAGCAAACCTTCTTACCTGTCAAGCCAACCATTGGGTGTAAACTAATGTATATTTCTTAAACTTTGGGTGTATTTGGTAGAATATTTAGAGTAGTATTTTTCAAAAAGTTGAGTTGGGTTGTTATTACGAGAATATGATTTGAATTTGAAAATATGTTTGGTACATTTTTTGAAAACATTTTCTAAAAATGATCCTCTACATTTGCTAATTTAGCGAAACACCCCATACAATAAAATATTGAAAATTAACAAAAACACACTCACCCACCCATTAAATGCTGGCCACCACCACCGGAGGGTAGTTGGAAGTCGTTGGAATGATGCACGATCGGCTGGATCTGGCCGAAAAAGTTTAGATTGGTGCATGATCGCCACATCCAGCAAGTCGTGCGCCATTCCGACAGATTCTAGCCACCTTCTGGCGGTGGTGGCCAACTGCTGGAAATATGTGGGTGGGTTAGTAGGGGTGCTTTTATCAATTTATAAACTTTTATTATTAGGGATGTTTATTTAAGTTAACAAACATAGGGGGCTAAAAAAAATCTAAATATTTTGAGTTGAATAGAATATGATTGGATTTTAAGAATACTGAAAAAGTTGAGTTAGGTTGTTATCACGAGAATAGGATTTGAATTTGAAAATGTGTTTGGTAAATTTTTGGAATTTATATTCTTTTTTAATCCCCTACATTTATTAATTTAGTTAAACATTCCATATAATAAAACATTGAAAATTAACAAAAACACCCCCATCCACCCATTACTGGCAACCAGCCACCACTGTTGGAGGGTGGCCGGAAGTCATCGAAATGGCGTACGATCAGTTGGATTTGCCGGTCGTGTGCCAATCTGGCAGGAAAATGCTAGATCAATAGCTAAAGATTTGGCCGTTGACGGCTAGATCTGACCACATTTGGTCACCAATGACGATCATATCTTAGTCGTCATTGATGACCAGATGTGGCTAGATCTGGCTGTCAACGACCAGATCTTTAGCCGTAGATCTAGCCTTTTCCGGTTAGATCCACTATGGATCTAATTGAAAAATGCTAGATCGACACACGACCGCCACATCTAGCCAATCGTATGACATTCTGGCCACCTTCCGACGGTAGTGGTATGTTGCTGGAAATATGTGGGTGGGTGGAGGTATTTTTGTCAATTTATAAACTTTTATTGTTGGGGATGTTTAGTTAAATTAACAAACCCAAATTAAAAAAAATCTAAATATTTTGAGTTGAATAGAATAAGATTGGATTTTGAAAATATTGAAACAAATATGGATTTTGATAGGATTAGATAGGGTAGTGTTTTGAATAGGAAAACAAACATAGTCAAAATAAATATGTATTTTGGGTAGGATTGGATAGGATAGGGTTGGGAAAAATGAAACAAACACAATATTCACAAAACTTTTTGAGTAAGAAAAAACTACTGAAATAATGTATATATTGAGTAAACGACATGTTCCCACCCAAAGGTTAGTGAAATGGCAAATTTCCACCCTTGGTTTCATTTATTCCAACTTCCCACCCTTAAATTAACTCTGTTAGTGAATTTTAACTTTGACACAGTTGTAGAGGATGTTATTAGTATACTATCCTTCACTTTTGATATCACCACCATCCGGCCACCACCACCTTTCAACACCACGACCGAAACCCCAAAGTCACCGCCATCGCCACCATCGCTATCCCTATAAACCCGATAGTCACCCTGCCACCACCAAACAACCACCACCAAATCACTTAAATTCAGCCACAAATCCACCCAAAAACTGCCACAAACTCAGCTACAAACCTACCCACAAACCCATTGGAACATTCCTCCTGCTTTTTAATTTGTTTGCACTTGATTGTCAGAACCCCACTTTTATTTCATTTCATACAACCTAGATTATTAATTACACCACCTAATTGATTAAACAAAGAAAAATGAAAAAGCTAAGTGATGTGAAATGCAACCGTAGGTTGGGGGTAACAACGATTGTGGTCTGCGGTGGGTTTCTAGGGGACGACGGCGCCGGCTTGCGATGGGTTTCTTGGGAGTGACAACGATCTGGGGGGCGAGGTACGCTAGCGATTTGGGGTAGATGGGTAGTGGCCTCAACGTGATGGTCTTACGGCAGCCAAATCAAGTCGCCTCAAAGCCTATTCCGAGAAGGGAGAAGAGGGAAGAATAAAGAAAGTAGGAGGAAGAGAAGAAGAAAGAAAGGAGGAAAAGAGGAGAAGAAGAAGAAGAAGAGGTGGCAATGGTAGGAGGAAGAGGGACGAAGAAAGAGAGGAGGAAAATAGTAGAAGAAGAAGAGTGGGATGGGATGGCTATTGGGTTCAATGACCGTTTTACCCTTTTATTGTCATACTAAATAATAGTCTGTTAATTTAAGGGCAGGAATCTGGAATAAATGAAACCAGGGGCGGAAACTTGTCATTTCACTAATTTTTGGGTGGGAACATTTCATTTACTCTATATATATTCAGCAAAAGAAACAAAATAAAAATATTAATTCAACACAAGCAAAGCAACACAATTAAGAAAAAAAACAAAGAGAAAATATATTTTATGAACTCGTGATAATTGGTTATGTCGACTAATTAACAACTCTGTCCTAAAAAATAATGCAATAACAAAACTTGTAAAATTAAAGAAATATAAAATTACCTAACGTGTCTATTTAACAAATACATAAAAAGCTCCTCTTTGTGAATCTCTTTTTAAAATTTCCCAGATTTGGCATTAATGATGTACACATGAAATTCAACTAGTAGTATTTATAGGCCTTGGCTTGGCAGAGTTGAACAAAGTTTCCACTGAGACTATAACAATAAAATGGCTCAAAGTTTAGATGATGCTAATTGGCTCTTTAACTTCGTCGTCCAAGATGGCAATGGCGTAAAAGGCGTGGCAGACTTGGGTCTATTAAAGGTACCAGTGTCGTACATACAACCACCACAAGAGCGAATAGACAAGCAAACTGTACGCACGCACGCTCAGTCGCCCATAGACTTGTCAAAGCTCGATGGACCTGAACATGAGCAAGTGGTGAAGGAAATAGTCAGAGCCGCTGAGACACTTGGGTTCTTCCAAGTAGCGAACCATGGTGTACCCATTGAGTTGCTGGAGTCGCTTAAGGAAGCTGCACACTCTTTCTTCGACCAATCACCTGAAAAGAAGGTTGTTTATCGACAAGGAGTGAGTCCAAGCCCGTTGGTGACATATGCAACAAGTTTTGTGCCAGACAAAGAGAAAGCTTTGGAGTGGAAGGACTATGTTTACATGCAATATACCACTGATTCTGAGGCTCTTGAGCATTGGCCGAATGAATTCAAGTAAGACTTTTTCTATACATTTTATCTTATAATCTTATATATGTTATTGACACGGAATAAATGTAGCTTTCTTATATTTTTCACAGGGAAGTGGTGTTGGAGTATCTGAAAACATCTGACCACATGGTGAAAAAATTGTTTGAATTTTTTTATTGAAAAGCTTGGAGTGACTCTAGATGACTCAAAAATTGATGCTTTGGTGGGGTTTAATAAGAAAATCAACATAAACTACTATCCTCCATGCCCTAATCCAGATCTCACTATTGGTGTTGGACGCCACATGGATATCGGCATTCTGACTACTTTGCTACAGGATGGAATTGGTGTATGAAAGTTGAAGAAGACATAGAAGCTGTAGCAAAAACAGGAGAATGGATAGAGATTCCACCTATTCCTGGGGCCTTAGTCATCAATATTGGCGATGCATTGCAAGTTTGATATCTGAAAACAGTTTTTTATGAATTTCATTATGGTTTTAGATACTAAGCAATGGAAGGTACAAAAGTGCTGAACATAGAGTACGCACAAGCATCCAATCAAGAGTTTCAATCCCAATCTTTACCGGGCCAAAACTAACAGAGAAAGTAGGGCCGTTGCCTGAGCCGGTGGAGAGAGATGGCACTCGTTGTCGAGAGTTTGTGTTCCAAGATTATCGAAGTCTCTTGACTTTGCTCTTATTAATTAGCTGCCTTTGACGGGTGCAATTTTAAAGGTTGGTATCCAACATGTTATTTGAAGGTGATTGCTTGATTTTACTAAATAAAGACATTGTATTCAAACACAAAGCCATTTTAGGCTCTTTTTAAGAGCTGTCTCCATAAATATTCTACGTGTTAGTGAATGTCTGGTTTCTTGAAGTTCAAAATATATTAAACTAACCGTTTGGCTTGTGATGGGATGATAAAACTCTCATAGTCTCAGTTATCTAGAGGTTTTTATGACTTATTTAATCCATTGAGCTGGACATTCCGGTTAACAAACAAAAAAAAAAATTTAAGTTCGCAAATTATTAACTTTTACTCCTTTAGCTTGGATTTTATATGTAAAGGTCAGTAATTTTCAGCTAAGATCTCCTACATTAATTTCATCAAGATTATTCTTAAATGCTATTAGATTTATATGTAAACTATTAGTTCAATCTAATGATATAAATCCAATTTTGTTTAAGCATGATTCTAACAAAATTTATTTAGAAAACTTAC